TCATTGTGGATGTCTCCCTCTGTCTCTAGTAATGATTTTTTGTCTAAGTATAGCCTGATAATAACATAGTTAACACCAGCTTTCTTTGGTTAATGTTAGGATGTTATATCATTTCCCATTATTTCACTTTTAATCTTTCTATGTCTTTATATTTTAGATGATTCTCTCATAAGGACATAGAGTTGGATTTTATTTTTCAACACATGTCACAGTCTTTCCAATTATATTTAATAGAATTACTAATATGAGGTAATTCTGCTCTTTTTATTTGCTTTTTGTTTCATCTAGATTTTGTTTTTCTTTTGGCCTTCTTTGGGATTGTCTAAATATTTTATATTATTTCAATTTCTGCCTGTGTTAATTTGGTAGTCATATATGTATTTATTTATTTACATGTTATTTTAGTGATTACCCAAGAAATTATAACCTGTCTCCTTGGCTAACTTTTAATAGAAATTGTTTTTGTTTTTTTTAAACCTCTTATTTGACATTTCAAGGATTATAAAATGCTCAATTTACTATATTCTAGGCTTAAAGCTTCTATTATTTTATATTTTGGTTTTCTTTGTGTTTTGGTCCCATAAGACATTATGATGATGATCATGATGATTACATAAAACCAGTATACATGTTTGACCTTCCATCTGAGACTAATTTTCTTCTGCTTGAAAAATAGCCTATTTTTTTTTTTTAGTAAGAGTCTACTGATAATAAATTTTCTATTGTCTCTCTAAAAATGCCTTTATTTTCCTGTTATTCTTGAGTTGTATTTTTGCTTGCTATAGAATTCTAGATTAGCAGCACTTTAACACATTGGCCACACTAGAAAAAAAATTTTTTTTTCCTTGGGGCCATGGTGTTTTATTACAAAAATAGAATAAAAACTTCAAAAACAAAACTATCCTTTCTAATTTAATGAAAAATTTGTTATTTTTTTATTGTTTTCTGGGTGTGAGTTATATACAACTTGAAAAATAGTTCACAAGGCTCCCAAGGTAAAGAGTCATGTGAGTTACATATGCTTCATAAGGCCTCAGGCTCAAAACTAGTGTGAGTTAAATACAACTCACATGGCAGTTAATGTGTTAAATGTATTATTTCACATAATTTCATTTTAAAAGTTGGATGTCAGACTTACTGTTATTTTCTCTTTGTTTGGTTTTGATCCATTTTACTGTGGTCTTAGGTATCTTTTGTTTTTTCCTGCTGTTTACAAGAAAAATTGATGAAATAATTTGAGGCCAAGGGAGATAATATCTTCCAGACTGCATTTATGTTTGCTTCTGACTGAGTAAGGAACACTAACAATTGCAGCTCACTTAAATTGGGATTGAGCTGGTTGGAACTGAGTTTCAGTCCTCATGAGGGCCAGTCTAATGGTGGTTTACCTTTATACTCCTCGGGTGTATCTCTTTGTGGTCTCATCCTAGAGCATGGATGTTTTACCATGCTCTCAGTGTCTCTCTCTTTCTCATACACACATCTCACACACATGCACAACCCCCACCCTCCTAATCCCCTAACCCTAGTCATTGGCAGATTTTGAACTCAATTTTTATATTCCTGTTCCTGCAAGAACAGCTTTGCTTAGCCTCTTTTTGAAGCAACAGGTCACCCTAGGGAAGAGCACCCCCACTATTGGGCTTACCTCTCTGGGATACTTTCTTCTCTGAGATTTTTTGGCCTCATGTGGTTGCACTGCTTTTTTAGATGGCCACTGCTATCAGAGATGTTTTTGAAT